CTCCAGCCCCAGCCCAATAGGACCCCATCCTATTGGGCTCTGGCTTAGTCCCTCTTGGGCTTTGGGTCCCTGATCCTGATCCTCACCCCTCTTGGGTGCTGTTTCACACCCCTATGACTGTGGGCTTTTGGCCCTATCTCCACCCCTCTTGGGCACTGGGGTCCTAACCCTGCTTAGCCACTACTTGCTCTGACTTTCTCAAGCTTTGGCTTCACCCCTTCACAAGTGCTGACTGTCAGTGCTCTGCCTGGCCCCTGGCTGGGCTCAAAACTGTCACATGTCCCTTGGGTACCTCTGGGGCTTCCAGAATCACCCCTTGCCACACATATAAACTGTAACAAAGGAATAAGGCCTCTGGCTGTAACACTAACGAACCCACTCTGGGTCCAGCTCTAAACAGTGAGTACTTATCTGTACAAGGATTCTCCTTATCCTGGATCATATTCTTCTGCGAGGCAGTAGCATTTTGTTTGCTTCCCCCAAGGTAGCACTCCTGGCAAGGTAGGAGCTCTCCTGGCCCTTCTTGCTCTGGAACTCTTTTCTTTGAGCCTCAGGTCCAGAGTGCATGTGTAGGCACAGGCCCTGAGCTTATATATATGCTAAGCCGTGCCTGGTTCTGGTCACCTGACTCAGCAGTCATTATCACAGGTGTGCTCATTGTGACCCTAAGGCCCTGCCTGCTGTTTAGCTGTTTTTTGCAGCTCTTAGCCCCTGAGCAGCCTGGCTGGTTGTCCCTTATGCCTGTCATTTGCTGGCTTTTGTCTACAACTTAGCTAGCAGGTAGCTAGTTCCTTAGCTGCTCATTTTCCCTGAGTCAGCTCACCCTGCTATAGTTTTCTCTTGAGTAATAGGAACCTTCTAGCTTCCTGTTAGTCCCTTGTGTGTTGCATTATTTCCATGGCTGTTTTACTACTACAGTACATTTTTTGTACATACTGTATGTCAAGGATATATTCAGTTAGACTACTGATCCCTTAACGTGAAAACTTGACATTTTAAAAGTTTTTCAAACAGTGAAATTCCCTCCTAAAAATGGTGTTTAATATTGACTGTTTCCCCCTCCCCTAGATTGAATATATATATATGTCTCAACCTTATGAACATGGAGGTATAAAACTTAACCTGTAGGTAACTGGAACCAGCTCTTCAAAGCCTTTCAAAGTTTAGATGATAATTTTTCTGGAGTTGCTTCAAATCAGGAGGTCCTGCTTCAGATCATGTTCAAATCAGCAGGTCCTGACAATCTCCACCCCAGAGTGCTGAGGGAATTAGCAGAGGTCATTGTGGGACTCCTGGCACAGCTTTATGAGCACTCATGGTGCTCTGGTGTGGTGCCAGAGGACTGGAAAAGGGCCAGTGTGGTCCCCATTTTCAAAAAAGGGAGGAAGGAGGACCCAGGAAATTATAGGCCTATGAGTCTTACCTCGGTCCTGGGGAAGCTCTGTGAGAGAATTATCCAGGTGCACATCTGCAAGGGAGCAGCAGGGGAGTGTATGCTTAGGGGCAACCAACATGGGTTCAGTAGAGGCAGGTCCTGTCAGACCAACCTGGTGGCCTTCTATGACCAGGTCACAAAAGCCTTGGCCACAGGTGTCGCTGTGGATGTGGTCTTTCTGGACTTCAGGAAGGCCTTTGACACTGTCTCTCACCCCATCCTCATTAAAAAATTAGGCGACTGGGGTGTTGATGCCTACATAGTCGGATGGGTTGTCAGTTGGCTGGAGGGCCGCACCCAGAGAGTGGTGGTGGATGGGTCATTTTCGACCTGGAGGGATGTGGGCAGTGGGGTCCCCCAGGGCTCGGTCGTTGGGCCCGCACTATTCAACATCTTCATCAGTGACTTGGACGAGGGGGTGAAAAACACCTTGTTCAGATTCGCAGATGACACTAAGATGTGGGGAGAAGTGGGCATGCTAAAAGGGAGGGACGGGCTGCAATTAGATCTGGTCAGGTTACGGGGGTGGGCGAATGAGAATAAAATGGGATTCAATACTGATAAGGGAGAAAGAACCAGCAGCATATCTACAGGCTGGGGAGCTCCCTTCTTGTCTGCACAGAGGCAGAAAAGGATCCTGGAGTCATTATAGACTCCAAGATGAACATGGGCTGCTAACGTGGGGATGCAGTCAGGAAGACTAACTGCACCTTGTCATACATCCACAACTGCATCACGAGCGGGTCCAAGGAGGTGATCCTCCCCCTCTATGC